CCTTGGGAGCTGCCATGGGACCCTGTCTGTATGCCCCAACTGCGGACGCCGAGTAGACGCCAGGGAACGGGGCCCGGCAGAGCCGCCGAGCCACGGGCCCCCAGTTAGACCCACGCCCACAGCCCTCACCCGGGCCAGCTCCTCCTCGTCGGCCTCGGGCTGCCGCTGCCGGGCCTGCCGCTGCTCCTCCTCCTGGAACACGGCCTTGGGCCTCTCGTCCTCAGACTCGCTGTCCGAGAGCGGCTCGTTGATCCAGGCGTCCAGGTCCAAGCTGCACAGGACAGGGAGGTCACTCCAGGGCCCGCCGTGCCGCGGTGCACCCACAGACGGGCCAGCCCCGAGCAGCACCCCGAGCCTGGGCAGCGGCAGCCCTGCTCACGGGCACTGGCGCTGCCCCTCGGAGGCCAGGACACAGAAGCAGGGAAGGCGGGCACCGTGAGCTCAGCGGCCGGGCAGCGCCATCCTAGTGGTCACAGCTGGGGTGGGGAAGTACACGGCCCAGGGGGCCCAGGGGGCTGGCTCCCACCTGCCCGCCGTCCTTGGCATCGGGCCCACGTCCTCACCCTTCGGGGATGGGCACCTTCTTCTGGGCCTTGGGAGCCACGGGGTTCAGCTCCCCGGCAAAGAGCGCGCTCACTTCGTCCGCTACCGGCACGTCCTTGGCCTGCAGTTTCTGCACGTGCTTGACCAGCTGCAGGACGCAGGACGCCTGTGGGGCGGGCACGGAGGGTGCACCATGGGACCTGCGGACCGCGCACACTGGCCGTCGTGGCCGGGTCCGCCGCCCTTCCAGGAGGCGGAGACAGAGTCCGTGCACGGAGGGGTCCTGACCGGGGAGGCCGTGCCGCACGGCTGGACACGGCCCTTACTGGGTCTGTGCCCGGGACCGGCAGCACCACTTCCCGGCGGCCCGCGACTGCTCGCCCTCCGTGACAGCTCCCTCAGGACACGGTCACATGGCACCGGGCCTGGAAGGGATGGCCACAGCTCACGCCTTTGCCCACGGACGCCCGGGTGGACATCGGGAAGGGCCGGGTGTCCTCAGGTGCCAAGTGGGCTGACACGACCTGCCTGCTCTCGTCCTGGAGGGACGGGGCCTGAGGTCCGCCAGTATGGGGCCTAGGCCCGAGACCCCACGTCCCCTACACCCCGCAGGGCGTCTGCCCTCCCTGTCCCATGGCACACGCCCACCCTCTCCTGTGACCAGGACAGGGACCAGCCACCATCGCCCCAGCCTGGCTGGTCAGGGCGAGGGATTTCACTCCTCCCTGGAAGAGGAAGAGGAAGAGGGGCCCCGGGCCAGGCGCCGCTCCTGCACCTCCAGGTCTGCGCTCTGCACGAACTGGGGCAGGCGGTCGGCCAGGAGCTGCGTGGCCTGCTGGGCCGCCTGTGCCTCGCCGGCCCGCTCCTCCTGCTGCAGCACGGCCGCAAACAGCTTGAGCACGTTCTGCACGTACACCGCCTGGATGTGGCCGGGCAGCGTGGTGACCCTGGGCCGCAGCATGGCCTCCAGCGTCTGCTGGGGCTCCTGCAGGTGCCTGTGGACGGGGGTCGGGTGAGCGGGCGGGAGCCGCGCCGGCCTGAGGGGTGGCCGGGGTGGGAAGGCCGGGGAACCCAGA